GGCAAGTCAGGCGGGGAATGTTGGAGTCTGCAGTCACTGCAGCAAGGAAGCCTCATGTTCGCTTCCAGCTGCCTGGCTGCCGGCCGCCATCTTGGTTGACAGTTAATTTGCATAAGGATATGCTGATTAGCCAATGGGAAGGGTAGCGGTCGTACGCTAATTACCATGTTTCTCTTTTATTAGTGTAGATATCCAGAATAAGCAATCCATAGGAACAGAAGTAAATGATTAGATGAGGTGGAGATTGTACAGTGACTGACAGTTGCACAACTCTGAATATACTAAATTCTGTGAATACATTGGGTTAATTTTATGGTATGTAAATTATATCTTAATAAAACTGTTATAAAAGAAACTAGAGGCCTGGTGTGGGGTCCCTCAGCCTGGCCTGTGCCCTCTTGCAATCCGGGACCCCTTGGGGGATGTCGGACTGCCAAGGGATGTAGTAGTGCTTGAAGCTGCAGGCGGCCAGGGAGGAGCCTGAGCCAGGAGGGCACCACTCCCACTCATCCCAGCCCCGCTGCACCTGCAGCTGCAGCTCGGTAGCGCTGAGGTGGGAGAGGCTCACTTTGGTCAGCTGAGCAGCACTCCCGCTGTGGGAGCGCACTGACCACTGGAGGCAGCTACTGCGTTGAGTGTCTGCCCCCTGGTGGTCAGTGTGCATCACAGCTACCGGTTGCTTAGGCTTTTATATATAGAATAGAGGTCCGGTGCATGAAAATTCGTGCACTGGGGCGGGGGGGGGGGGCCCCCCAGCCCAGCCTGCACCCTCTTGCAGTCTGGGACCCCCTCGGGGATGTCCACCTGCTGGCTTAGGCCCACTCCCAGGATTGAGCCTAAGCTGGCAGTCAGACATCCTTAGAGCTACCAAGGAGGTGGGAGACTCCCACTACCCGGCTTGTGGCTGAGCAGAGCTCCCCCTGTTGGAAGGCACTGACCACCAGGGGGCAGCTCCTACGTTAATCGTCTGCCCTCTGGTGGTCAGTGCGCATCATAGCGACCAGTTGTTCCCGACTGTTAGGGTCAATTTGCATATTACCCTTTCATTATGTAGGATACTGCTTACAGATCAGTATGACTAATTACAGGAATCCACTAATGTAAAAAAAAGAAAAAAATACCCAAGAATTTTTAAGACCCAAGAAACCAGACATCCTAAATACCTTACCAATTTTGATCCCCACTCCTCATGACAGAAGACGCTAAACACAGCTTCTCTCGGATGGACCATGGTTCTGTGGGGCCACTACTCAACAGCTTGTGTTCTGAAAGGAGAGAAAGTTTAAAAGCAACCACTGAGGCACTAGTTCTTGGCCCCAACCGGAGGTCTAGAAGCCTAACACAAAACATCCCAACTTGTAAGGACAAAGTGAGCTCCATCACCAAATCTTGATTTTCACCTGGCTAGTAAAATATCACCACTGGGTGGGTGGTACCTATTCATTGCGTGCGAATTGCAATGAGTATCTGGCAAAATATTTAATTTCTTCATGACTACCCTGCTTTATAAAAAAATAAAATAGCCCCGTCCGGTTTGGCTCAGTGGATAGGGCATCGGCCTGTGGACTCAAGGGTCCCAGGTTCGATTCCGGTCAGGGGCATGTACCTTTGTTGCGGGCACATCCCCAGTGGGGAGTGTGCAGGAGGCAGCTGATCAATGTTTCTAACACTATCCCTCTCCCTTCCTCTCTGTAAAAAAAATCAATAAAATACATTAAAAATAAATAAATAATAAAATAAAAACCAGACAATGTCAGATTAAGATAAGGCAGTTCTCCCAAAAAGCCGTTTTAATAATACATACTTTATCCCAATTTGAGCGCCAGGACTTATTTCATTTCCCAGGATTCCGAGTAGCCACCCCCTTACTGCCCCGCCTCCTTCTAAGCAAAAACTTGTTTACTGCTTTCAGAATCCCCACCCCCCACCCCCCTTGAGTTGTCGGGCCTAAAAGATCTTGTCAGTCCACGAAACAGAGGCAAATGGCTGAGGTGCAAGAGAAGCAATTTCCCCAGTGGCAGAAAAAGCTCCCGGTTTAAACTATCCCATTTCTCTGTGACGGAGAGTAGGGCCCACAAACGTTAGTCGGAGTGTGAATGGCTCTTTGAGGTGCCGGCCACTCGGTATGGCTCACAACACGTCTTCGTCTGCACGCCCGAGTCTCTAGAGCAGCTTTATCTTTCACTCCACACAGTCCCCAAACATGCAAAGATTTGCTGAGCTGCTTCTCAAATCTCTGCGGCCGCCCTAAGACACAAGACCCTACACTTTTCGACCCCCAAACACTGGCCTGCCACGACGCCGTCGAGCGAAAGTCTCTGAAGACTCTGCGCTCTCAGGCAAATCATTGCTCCTACTCCCCAGGCGTGTGACAGAAACCCAGTGCCTGGCCTCGGCTCTACAAAAGCTTCGCACGCAAAAACAGCGCAGATACTTACTGCCCGTTCCTGTCGCCATCTTGGCCCGAAGTCTTCAACCCCCGAGGGAAGACCGCTTTGCAGGGCCGAAACGTGGGGAACTCTGGGAAATAGTTTGGGCGCTTGTTCGCGTGCCTCCTGGGAAATGTAGTCTCCCACCCCAAGACGCACAAGCGTCCTAAACCAGCTCTCTTTTGCGCTCCTGAGAAGGAACGTGCTAAAGGACAAAGGATGAGGGCTGAAACCTCAGGATTTCCCTTAGCGTTCGTGGGAAATAAATGCTGAGGGTTCAAGAAAAAGTGTTAAGCGGGAAGAATTCCACGGTACTCGGCTCCAAACTCCGACAGTTGGTAACCCGGACGCACATTAGAAAGGAAAGGTCAACCCGGAACAACCGTTTCCCAGTTTTACCCGCCCCCTTTCCTGGCGCTGATTGGTAGCTGCAGGCTTCTCTATCTGATTGGTGGACGAAGGCAGCGCGTACTTTAAAACATTGTATCAGTAACAAAGGTGCACCTCGTGGGCGGAGTTTTGTTCTATAAAGGCCAGAGCCCGGGTTCGGCGGCGGGGTGTGAGTGGGCAGGTACCAGACGGGGAACAAGTGTCGCGTCTTCGGGTGAGTATGCGGTTGTGCTGGAGCCCAGCTGGGGTACCAGCTCTTTCTCTCGCCGGACAGGCTGTCAGAAAGCGACCCTGCTGCCATCGCTTTTTTTCTTAATACCTCTGTCCTCACTGTGGGCCTGGGGGCGAGGTTGGAGAAGGTGCCTAGGGCTACTGTCGCCACCTCCACATCACCCGTGGGCGAGGCACCTTACTTGGAGCGTGACCTTCTGGTTTTTCAACCAGATATCTGTTCATTCCAGTACGTGGTCAGAAATGCTGCCTTAAACTGGATTAAATGATTAACTCCTATCATCCCCTTCCCCTCTGCTGATAGTGGAAGGGAAAAGAGTAGAAATTCAGGCGGCGATGCCGAGGTGTCCTGGGGTAAGGGAATTTTTTTTTTTACCTAGAATTTGCAGCCCTTTCTGTCCTTAAGGTTCTCACTTTTGTCTCTTTTTAGACCTAAGTTGCCCCAGCTATGTCCCGAGGGATCCTTTCTCCGCCAGCCGGCTTGCTCTCGGATGAAGATGTCGTAGTGTCCCCCATGTTTGAGTCCACAGTTGCAGACTTGAGGTCTGTGGTTCGCAAGGACCTGCTGTCAGACTGCTCTATCATCTCCACCTCCCTGGAAGACAAGCAGCAGGTAAAGGAGTTGGAGAGTGGTAGGAGCAGAAAGTGATATCCTCAGCCTACTCTACTGAGTAGTTAGTATGAGGTCAAAGACCAGCATTTCTGAGAGTTCAATTCAAAATTAAGAGCATGACAAGTAAAAAAATGTAGAGTTTGTGTCCATAAGAACTATTGTTTGCATTGCATTAATGATATACCCTCAAGTGCACACTATCAGTTAATCCCTTGAGGGAAGGATAATAGTTATCTCTCCACCATGAGGCCCAGAGGCCTTGAAGAATTTGCACAAAGTCATACTGCCATTAAATAGGTGGAATGTACATTCAGGTCTTAATGCCAACCGCAGCTTCCATTTATGAAGCCTTTGTGCTTGGCTGGGGTTTCTCATTGACATTTTTTGTTTGGTTGGTTTTGGTAGCCATATATATAACGACCTATATTTATGTACAAAACATACACCCAAATTGGGGGCAGGCTGGTTCTTAACACGTAGTCCCTGATTTGTCAGAATGTCACAAAGCCTTGAAATTTGGTGCAGAACTTTGATTTAGGTCTCCTGAGGGGAAGCAGAATAGCAGAATATTGCCAGGACTTGTCTCAGCCCTCACCCTTCCTCCTGAGGAGTTCAGGCTGGGCATCAGGCCTGCCCTTGACTCCCTTCTCTCTACTCCTGGGGCCCTACAAGGCCTTCAGGTTTACCTCCAGAAACCTGCGAGGTGGGTGGAAGGCCCTGCATCTATGGCAGCTGGTGGGTTCTCATTGACATTTGGGACCTGGTAATTTTTTGTTGTATGGGTCTGTCCTGTGCATTGCAAGGTGCTTAGCAGCATTCCTGGCCTCTACCCATTAAATGTTAGTAGTACCTTCCCACTTGTGACAACCTAGAAACCTGTCCTGATACTGCTAAATGTTCTTTGGGAGGGAAATGGCACTGGTTAAGAACAACTCTACTCATAAGTCTCTTTTTATTTTTATTTTTTTTATTTTAAAAATATATTTTATTGATTTTTTTACAGAGAGGAAGGGAGAGGGATAGAGAGTTAGAAACATCCATGAGAGAGAAACATCGATCAGCTGCCTCTTGCACACCTCCTACTGGGGATGTGCCTGCAACCAAGGCACATGCCCTTGGCCGGAATTGAACCTGGGACCTTTCAGTCCGCAGGGTGACGCTCTATCCACTGAGCCAAACCGGTCAGGGCCATAAGTCTCTTTTTAGAGAAAGGTTTATCAGACCAGGAGCCTCAATAATGCCTCTTAGAGTTCCTGGGCCATAGTAGGCAGATCTCTTAAATATCTGTTGAAAGAATGAGGTGGTTACTATATGATTAACCCCATTCTATATGAGGAAAGTGAGGCAAAGAGAATTTAAGAACTTGTTCAAGGTCTTATAGTTACTAAATGAAGGAATTGGGACTCAAATTCCGGTGTGTCTGCCTCCAAGGTGCTTACCTACTGTGCTTTACTATAATATCATGCCAGTCAACCAGTTCTAACTCTAAGTGTGGTAACCCAGGATTACAGGATACTGAAGAGACAGTAGGAAAGGGACAAAGTACTAAAGAAATCTATGTAGGTTGGAATGATTATGGAACCAAAGAGTAGCTATAGCTACAGAGAGACACTTGAGGTGGAACGAGGGTAGTGTTAGCATTATTTTCAGGAACTGTGCTATGCTTGCCCATCTGCTTAGAGATAATTGCTGAGATTAATCTGTAGTTCTGGCCTGGAATTCTGCCACAGGTTCCATCTGAGGATAGTACAGAGAAGGTGAAAGTATATCTGAGGGTCAGGCCCTTGTTACCTTCAGAGCTGGAACGGCAGGAGGATCAGGTGAGTTTCTGAGGAGGGAGGATTCAAGGTGGAATGATACAGAAGAGGTTCTCAGGAATGCTTCCTTCTGTGTCAACTGTGTTTTCCCCTTTCTTAGGATTGTGTCCATATTGAGAATGTGGAGACCCTTGTTCTACAGGCACCCAAAGACTCCTTTGCCCAGAAGAGTAACGAGCGGGGAATTGGCCAAGCCACCCACAGGTTCACCTTTTCCAAGGTATGAAGGTACTGGTCTGTGAACAAGGGACCAACATGTAGGGGCAACCTTATTCCCTCTTTAGTGGGAAAGCTTTTTACTTGCTTGTGAACTTCTTATAGAGGATGGGGGGAAGTACTTTTATAGTTGTGTGTGAAATACAGAGTTTATTCTTGCACCCTTGTTATGAGCTAGCCAGTGTGTCAAGTACTTTATATGCATTAATTCCCAACAACTCTTATAATTATCATATTGTCCCTATTTTCCTGACAAGGATACTGTGGCTCAGTGAAGGTAATGTTGCTGAAGCTAGTCAGTGGTAGAGTTAGGACTTGAATCTGCTACAGGTTCCATCTGAGGATAGTACAAATGCTTGTGACCAGTATGTTGCCCCATTGTGTATGCAGCATTGGACTTAGTGGATAGCATACCTTAGGTATTTGTTAATCTGGATGAAAGATGGACTGGCAGAGAGTAGTTGAGTCCTCAGTGTTTAGGAAGCAGCTGGCAGCACTGCAGGAAGAAGTGGCTAGAGCATTGTCCAGGGCCAACCACCCAGGAAGAGATGCATCTGCTAGCTCTGCACCGGAGGCAAATGGGAGATGAAAGGTCTCCAAGAAACTGGGTCTGTCTCTAGATCTTTGGGCCAGAAGTAGGACAAGCATCCTTCTTCAACCTGACTGTGAAGGAGATGGTAAAAGACGTACTCAAAGGACAGAACTGGCTTATCTATGCATATGGAGTCACCAACTCAGGAAAAACCCACACGATTCAAGGTGAGTAGTAGGCCTCACAGGATTGCTGATTGCCTGTAATGGTATTGTCATTGCCTTTGGATGCTGTCCATTGGAGGAGAAAGGCACTTGCCTCAGCTACCCATCTTTTACATTCCTCTAGGTACCATCAAAGACGGAGGGATCCTGCCCCGGTCCCTGGCTCTGATCTTCAATAGTCTCCAAGGCCAACTTCATCCCACACCTGATCTGAAGCCGTTGCTCTGTAATGAGGTAATCTGGCTTGACAGCAAGCAGATCCGACAGGAGGAAATGAAGAAACTGGCCCTGCTAAATGGAGGCTTCCAAGAGGTGAAGTGTTAGTGTCTACAGAGGTGGGGATAAGGGGACAAATCTCTGGAAAGTTTTATACTTATTTTCTCCCTGGGGCCCTCCAGGAGGAACTGTCTACCTCCTTGAAGAAGAGTGTCTACATTGAAAATCGGATAGGTACCAGCACCAGCTTTGACAGTGGCATTGCTGGGCTCTCCTCCACCAGTCAGTTTACTAGCAGTAGCCAGCTAGATGGTAAGTAACATGACTGGGCTCAGTGCCAAGTCACAGTAAGAACCCACTCCCTGCTCTCAACAACTGCCAGGAGTAAAGACCAGAGGTTGCAACCTGAGCTCTGCCTTCTGAGGACCCTGCAAGCCAAAGGGGAGGTGGACTACTCTGGGGTTGATGTACATTTGCTTCTTCCCCAGAAACAAGTAACCGATGGGCACAGCCAGACAGTGCCCCCGTAAGTGTACCTGCAGACATTCGCTTCTCCATCTGGATCTCCTTCTTTGAGATCTACAATGAACTGCTTTATGATCTGTTAGAACCACCTAACCAACAGCGCAAGAGGCAGATTCTGCGGCTATATGAGGATCAGAATGGCAATCCCTACGTGAAAGGTATGGGAAAGCAGGGAGGCTGACATGAACCCTGGACAGGACTTGGGCAGAGACTAAGAAAAGAGTTAGGTACTCCCATCTTATGTATGCCCTTCTCTTGCCCTCAGATCTCAATTGGATTCATGTTCAGGATGCTGAGGAGGCCTTGAAACTCCTAAAAGTGGGTCGTAAAAACCAGAGCTTTGCCAGCACGCACCTGAACCAGAACTCCAGCCGCAGGTTAGTCGGTTGTGAGAGCCAGCCTTTGTTCTAGGAAATATTAATCCTCCAGTTGGTCATGGAAGATGTGTAATGACCTTTTTCTTTTTCTTAACTTCTAGTCACAGCATCTTCTCCATTCGGAT